TAACAATGCAAGTAGAAAAATAGGGACCACCTTTGGTGGGAAGGTAACAGCGTTTCGTGCATCTTCGGCATTTAATCATGCCGGCCACATGACCACAGAGACGTCTTCGGACAGTACTGGCTCTTCAGCTTTCAAACGGAGATGAGCACCGCCCCCTAGAGTTGGGAACGACTAGCACATATGTGCGAGGGGAACCTTTACGTCATGGAAAACGGGACTACAGATAGTTCTTGACTGATAACAGTTCATTTAGTGACTGTTCAAAGCTACAACGGCATTGAAAGAAGTGACTTCTGATGGTTTTTCATATTTACGACCATTGCAACATCCCCATAGTCACATGGTCAAAATTCAGCGGCTTAGCAACTGACTCATATTTATGATAGTTGCAGCATCCCAGGGTCACATGATCACCTTTTGCGACCTTCTGACAAGCAAAGTTGGGTGGGGGAAGCCAGATTCACTTAAGAACCATGTTACTAATTTAACCACCTTGGCGATTCACTTAATAACTGTGGCAAAAAAGGTCATAAAGTGGGGCAAACTCACTTAACCAATGTCTCACTTAGCAACATAAACGTTGGCCTCCATCGTGGTCATAAGCTGAGGACTACCTGTCTATAGAAACATTCCTAATAGAAATTCGGGATCGTTTTCAGAATAAAGTGCACTACTGTACTGTTAAGGAATAGCAACAAACCAACACACCCTCTTTCTACTCTGATCTGTTAGAAATTCTGTATATAGCCCTTCAGACAGTGCACAGTCCCCATGTGCTTTACTGCAACAAAGAAGCAAGATACTTTATTCAGAGAAAATACATAGAGTTGTACTGTTCCGGTACAGTGTCTGCTGTTCCCACCTACCACCAGTAGGCCTATACCGGGCCGTACCTCCTGGAACCCACCACTGATCCAAATGTTAATCCCATGACCCTGGGGATCCTGTATCGGACTTGTAAGTGTGAAAACTGGTCCTAAGTCTCTTTTCTCAACCCTGTTGTAACTTTGGTCCCTAAATGAACTGTTGTAAGTCGAGGACTACCTGTAATGAATGGACATATTAGCTGGGTAACAAAAAAGTGGAATTTCCTCCTGTAGTCTGGGCATGAAGCTCTCAAATTAATACCGTTGAAATCTGCTGCATTTTATTTATTTTTTTTGTCAGAGGAACTTAAAGCTCCTTTGGAAGAACATATCAAAAAGTTCAACGGCAAACATCCCGGATTGCTGAAAATTGTGAGACACACAGAAAGGAAGGGTCTCACAGAAGCCCGCATTTCTGGCTGGAGAGCATCTCGGGCAGACGTGGTGGCTATTTTGGATGCGCATATTGAAGTCAACACAAAGTGGTAAGTCTGGAACAAGGGTGTCAAACTCAAGGCCTGGAACCTAGATCTGGCCCGCGGGGTGCTTAGATCTGGCCCACAGGGCCGTCGTGGAAACAGTGACGGACCGGCCCGCAGTGCCTCTGCCAGCATAAATTGAGCTTGTGAGGACTGTGCGCCAGTGGTGGGATTCATTTTTTTTTTACTACTAGTTCTGTGGGCGTGGCTTGGTAGGTGTGGCAGGGGAAGGATACCGCAACATCCCCATTCCCTCCCAATCAGCTGGGACTCGGGAGGCAGAGAATAGATGGGGGCGGGGCCAGTCAGAGGTGGCATTTACCGGTTCTCCGGACTACACAAAAGTTCTGCTACAGGTTCTCCACAAGTGGTCAGAACCTGCTGATTACCACCTCTGCTGTACGCAGTCCACTGAGCTGAACTCCACTGCGCTGTACAGTAGAAGCCATTTAAGGCACAACAGGCTGTATTGTAACAGAACACACACCCCGAGTGGTGTTAGGGGTGTCTTACCCCCGCAGTATTTGTTTCCAGAGAGTAAGTCATCTGGGTACCACGTTTGGTTGAAATTGCTCAAGTTGTTCCAGAGTTATGCTGGAACACACACACACACAGAAAGAAGAAGAAGAAGATTGCAGTGTCCAATGGTAATTGGAATCCATTTCTTGGACTGATACAACATAATTGAATCACAATTCCCAAAGGAATGAGTGAAGTAGAAATCAAAGGGGTCGGGGCGGAATTTAGAATTAGCTTCTTCTTTCAACAGACAGCTTCCAATAGGAAGCCTTGTTATAGGCTGGAAGCGGGAAAGCGCACATTGGTTTTAAAAGTCCTACGTAGCTCCATCAACTCTCTTCTGCTTTAACGAAGGGCTGAACCAATTCTCTCTCGCATCAAGGAGGACCACACCGTTATCATATCGCCCGTGTTTGATAACATCCGTTTTGATGACTTCCAACTCACGCAGTACGCCGAGGCCGCCGACGGATTTGACTGGGCTCTCTGGTGTCTCTACGAGTCCATACCAGAAGAGTGGTATGCGCTGAAAGATCAAACGGCGCCAATCCGGTAAGTTTTACCAATACGGGCTGAAGCTGGTATCGCCTCAACGTTCCTTGAATGAAAATAAGTGGGGATTTTTTTTATTCATGTTGTTTCTTGCTACCAATGACGCTGCGAGTCAACAAGATGAAAATATTAGCTGGTGTTACGGCCTGTCGGCCGCCAGGCCCTCCAACAGCTGAATCGGAGGAGGAGGAGGAGGAGGAGGAGGAGGAG